TAATTGCAAGCTGAATAGTTGATAGCACATACAAAATGTCCTTTAATCGGAGGATGGATATAGAGTTGATCGATAGCAATGAATACTTTGCTTTGAATGGATAGTAATGAATACATGAGCACCCAATTATTAATAATAATGATACGATCGATTCGTGGGTGCAGTACAAAAAACATCCGATTGACATGAATTTTTTGGCATGAATTCTCCAAAATTAACATGGATATGTTAAATCCGTGTCAAAAACAGTTTGACACGAGTTATTTGACATAAAATCATAGGTAAATTCCTTCCAAATCCATTCAAATCCTGTAATTTTTTTGTAGTGGTGATGACCGGTGGTATCAAACTAAGAGTTAACATAAATCTTCTTCAATTCATCTTTTCTAATGGTTGAAATTCAATTTTCATTGTGTAATTTCTTGTGAAGTAGGTTGTCCCTATTCCCTTATATGTACACTCACTGACACAAGTGAAGGGAATAATTTGTAAATAAATGTTTGCTTCGAATAAACCGGTGAGATGAAATCATGAAATAGATAAGAGAAAATTCTAGAGAGGCCTACAAATCTTTACTTCAGTCAGAAGTGACAAATCAATTAATTTTGTTTAGAAAAGCAATTCCAACCTTATTTGTTTGATTATTACATAATTAAACATAAAAAATAAATAATTACATGATTCATAAAAAAAACATGGTAAAACACATAAGGGGAGTTTGGTAAACGACGGTTTGACCACGTTTCAGCCGAAAAAAGACGGTTTGACCACTTTCAGCGTTTTCAATAGGTGAAAAAGCTGTCGGGTAAACAGCGGTTCGGCACTAGCGTTTTTGGACGAAAACGCTGAAATGAAAACGCTGTTAAGAGGAGAGTTTTGAGTTGACATTTTGAAAAATGGCTTTTTCTACTAATTTTATGACCAAACAGTTAAATTAATAAACATCTTCTAACAACCTGCCAATTTATTCCATTAGTCAAACCTGCTGACTGAATCCGCTATTGACAACCCGTTAACATAATTCCTTATCCGCTAACCGCTAACCGCGCTTAATGTTAAACACGCCCAGGATATAAACACGATTTTCAAAACTCTCATCTTACTATTAAATAGACTTGATAGATTTCATCAATTTTATACCGAGTATGTAACACCCGATCGGTGTAACTAATTCCTTCCCAGTTCACACACATCCAGCATAGTTCATGCTTAGAAATGAGCACATTTGATCGAGATTGGATAATCGGATCGAACTACGCCGGTTGACCCAGAATTGACTTGGCCTGGATCAATTACAAATCTCATAAAAAAGTTGATAAATGAGACTCACTGTTTTATTCCCAAGATGTTGTGAAATAATGGGAAAGAGGTACTCCAATAGGAGTCCTGACAGATATATTTATAATAGAAGAGTTGCCAAAATACAAAGTATTCCTAAATAGATATTAGGCAGATTCCTAAATATCTATTAGGTAGATTCCTAATTATATTAGCCTATTACACCCCCTCAAACTGTGCGGGAGATACAACGCGCAGGTTGTCTTTTAAAAAAATGAAATTGCAAACTAAAAAAAAAACTTCTTAGTAAATATATCCGCCAGCGGAAGATTAGAAGGCACATTTTTGATAATATGATCTCCATGAGAATATATGTCTGCAGCAGCAAGCGGCGAACTCAACAGCGCGCTTGACGCAAGCACCGTGGTCAGCGACGCAGAGAAGGTGGGGTGCTGCGCGGACATAGGCAGCAGCAGGCGGCGAACTCAACGGCACGCTGGAAGAAAGCACCCCACCTTCTCTGCTAATATAATTACAAAGTATTCCTAAATAGATATTAGGCAGATTCCTAAATATCTATTAGGTAGATTCCTAATTATATTAGCCTATTAGATGTGACTCATTTTCTTTTAATAGGATTAAGCAAGTTTTGTTTAGAAAATAAAACATATTTTGTCGCACGTTTTAGTCCTGAACAATTTTTAGAAAAATATCTGATCCATACGAGATAAAAAGTTTTATGAGAATGTTTGGAAAAAATCAAATCTGATCTAATGCTTTGATTGGGTCATACACAAAATAAAATTATGTTCGATTTTGGGTACAATAACTATTTCAATGCAAAATAGACAAGCAAATATATACTATAGTGTGCAAATGACTAATAGGATATCAACTATTTTTAAAAAGAGTTTTTTTTCTTAGGGAAAAATACGGCAATAATACTAAAACATGTCAGTTTTCCCTATATATGACCAAATGGGTTTTTTGATCTACCGTATGATAATGACATACATCGGCTATGCAAGTAATGTCAGTAAATACCCAAACTGCCCTTCCATACGCGTCAAAAGCCCAAAAAATGAAACGGTAACCGACAGAGAAACGTGCGCCGTAAATTGGGCTTCCAAAATGGGTAATCCGTATTAACTGCTAAATCAGGTTGGGTACGGACGGAAGAATAGCAATTGACAAAAGAACAGAAATTGAAGCCGCGAAGAGAAGCGGCGTGTGAGGAGACAAACATGACGAAGGCGACTGCCAAGCTGGGAACAAGAGCATTGAAGAAGCCGGAGAAACGACAACAAGACTCAACAACAGCGGCGGCGAGTGAGTCGGTTGTCATTAATATCGACGGAATTGTAAGTTTTCTCAGTCGCAGAGCATTAAAGTATGGAATTACGTGGTTTTGAGCAATAGGCATTGCATGTTCTATTGCGTTTTCGTTTTTGGTGATGGAGCCGGGTTAGTGAAAAACCCAGTGAGATACGCAAGTAATTTTGGGAACAGAATGGTGATGGAATAGGGTTGTGAAATAGTGAATGAGTTAGGGCATTAATTTGGGAACCAATATGTATAGAGCAGAAATACGGAGGTGGAAGATGGGGAATGAATGAGGTTGTGAAATTGGCAATGATACAGGGCAATATATGTATTGGACATATAGTTTAGGTCATTAAGCAACATATGTATTGGCAATATATGCATTAAGCAATGGTGTAGTTCATTAAGTCCTTGTTAGGGCAATAAAGTTAGGAAAGAAAACGGTGGAGGGAATTAGTGAAGTAGTACATTAACTGTAAATATAAATTGTGGCAATAAGTTTTTTGAAATCTGTGTGAAGCAATAAAACAAGGCATTATGATGGTCCTTTGTTGTACACTAGGGTAGTAGTGAACTGGGTTTGTTTGGTTATGGAAGTATTTGTGCATGTATTAGTTAAGTGGTTTTTGGGATTTTTTTTGAAAATGTGATTGTAATTTGTCAGTAAGTGGCAATATTTAGGCGGATTAAGTGTTTTGCAATACATCAATGTAGTAGTGTATAGTAGTTTAAGTGGCAGTATGGTTAGTGCAATGATTGAAATATTTCTCAAGAAATAAAGAGGGCATTAGTATTTCATATTGCATTAAAAGAAATCTAGTAGTGAACTGTTTTTTGGAAGAATTGTAATATTTGTAATATTTGTGAATCAATAAACCAGGTACTTATAATGTTCAATTTACTGACATAATGTATTAGTTTAGTGGTTTCAATGGAATATATCATGAAAAGATTATTGCAGTATGGCAATAATTTGGCAGATTAGTGGGGATTGTGAATGAAGGATTCAATTTTATTTGAGAGGTAATAAGTTGAATGTTTTATCTTGCAGGAATATGTGAGGACGACGGAGTGTGATAACTTTATTCTTGAAAAGTCAATGAGAATAAATAGTTATTGCAATATGATAAAGGCAGTTGAAAGTATAAGAAGTTGCCTAACGAAGGATGAACTAGCTGAATTTAAAAAAACAGTTTTCGGATACTTCCTTGACTTGGGAAATATTCCTTGGGTAAATGGGCAGCTTTTAATCCTTCTCATGGCCAATCATGTTGACCGTTTGAATGTGCCGAATGACAAAAGTAAGTTGGAGTTTCTGATTGGCAATAAAATTGCTTGCTTCACAAAAAGGGATTTTGCAGTTATCACTGGGTTTCCATTTGGTACGAAGAAACCAAGCATATCCACACAGAATCCAGGGCATTTGTGGAATACATACTTTAGTGGCATGACTAGTGTTGGAAGAGGGCAAATAAAAGCAGCTTTTGAATCAGGGAAGGCCAAAAGAAGCGGAAGCAAGAAAATGGATGCAGTAAAGCTTGGATTATTGCATGTTCTCAGCAGCTATATTCTGGGGAATCAAACATCAACAAAGTTCCCCACTATGTACATCAATCTGGCAGATGATATGGAGCAGTTTAATACATATCCATGGGGGGACGTTGTATGGGATGATTTACAAGAAAAAGTAAGGAAGTGTGCAAGTGTTCTTTACCAAGAAGCGGGTGCAAGATTTACTTTTCCGGGCTATCTATTTGCATTGCAAATTTGGGCATACGAGACATTTCCAGGTCTTCAAAAAGCAAAAGTGTGCGTGAGGAGGGAGGGTTCAAAGTTGTGGCCTAGGACAGTGCAATGGTCAGCTCCTGCTAGGCCTGCACAACAAGTGCTTGAAGATGTTGTATTTAAAAATGAGCAGGTGCAATTACTTCCTAAAAAATTTTATGTGTAATTGTGTATTTCAAATGGTGTAATATAGTCATGTTTTGACGTTATGTTTGCAGGTACAATGGGAACAAATGAAGCTGACTAATGAAGAGTCGAAGATGGAGTTGGTGATTAAAGCATCCACAAGTGATGCTACTGACATGGGTAGTAGGGATGGAAGTGAGAGTGATGATTTTGTAGAACCGGGCCCGAGCAAATGGAAGCACAAGGCAGTAACGATTGAGCCTAAGGTTGCAAAGCGTAAGGTTGCTGCTAAAAGAGTAAGAGCACATAGTAAAAAGACAGGTATCTTTGATGAGAAGGGTGATTCCATGATACACAGTGTGATGGCAGCAGTGACTTTACAAGGAAGAAGAATAAAAAAGCTAGAATCGAAGGTTGAAAAGCTGTGTGAGTTGGCAATGAAACAATCCAGCATGTTGAAGAAAGCTTTATCGATTAGAGGCAGAATGCGGAAGATGCCTAGGATGAAGAAAGTGTCCAAGAAAGTAGAGAAGAAAGATGAGGAAGCAATGCCGAAATTTGACTTGGGTCTGGATTTTAATGAAAACGTGGTAGAGGATAGGGAGCAAGATCATGGACACGAGGAAGTTGAGGAACAGGATTCTGAGAGAGCAGATGTCGTTGATGGGATGGTCGAAGACGATGTGGAATTGACACAGACCGACATGTTCAAGGACATTGATGGCACAATGAATACGCAAGAACTGGTAAAGGAGGTGGATTTGATTGAAAAAAACATGAGGTCTGGTATGACAGCGCAAGAGGACAGGCAAGAGGAGCAACATGATTTCCAGAGCATTGAAGAAATTGGAGTGCTGGATACACAGCAGCTATGTGCTCAGGTTGATATCATTTGTGAGCAATTGTTGGGCAATAACAACAATGTTCAAGGCAGTGAAATGGATGGTGAAAAGGTGTTTCGCTATAATAAATATACTATTCTATATTCATAAGTTTTAATTCTATATAGGTCCAAAGATTAGTATATTATTTCCGGTGCATATAAACTTTTATAGTTGAGTGGGGTATTTGAATATTATATTGTACAATGTAATAATACTCTTGTTATATATTTCAGGGCATTAAAGCTCATGAATTTGAAATAATAGTGATTTGAATTATTTTGGTGGTGATGTAGGATATGCAGGACAGGAGTGCATCAGAGGCCGAAGTGGTACATACTGAAACTGCCAAGGTTTTTGAAGACATTGACCCAACAAGCGACAAAAGTGTAGAACCAATTGACTCCCAGATTGTGGTAAATAAGGTTTAGGACAATGTGTAAATGAATATAAGATTTCATACTATGGGTGGGGCAATAATTTAGGGAAGTATGTTTCGGGCAGTATGCGTATTGGTTGAGTTATAGGTCAATGAATTGGAGATTAGTTAGGAAAGTATGTTTAGGACAGTAAGTATAAATGAATATTAGATTTTGTACTAAATGAAGTGATATTAGATTTATACTAGTGAATGGCTTGTTCAAATGTTGTGAGTAGCAGATTAATGGGTGTGCAATAATTTAGGACAGTAGCTTTAAGACAGTATGTTTATTTAGTGAGTAGAGAATGAATGAATCGGAAATTAGGTAGGACATTATGTTCAATGCAGTTAGTGTATTGGGTGTATATATGAATACATTTTTATGCTTCGTTCAGGTATACACAGGGGACACAACCCCGCTGGCAGTTGATGGTATGCCAAAACGACAGTCCAAACGGCCAAAAAGATTCACCTTCTCTGGGCCCCGAAAAGATAAGCGGAGGAAACGAGATAAAGAAAAGGAGCAAGATATAGGTGACGATGTGCCACGTGAAATAGTGGGCCCGTTCAGTTTAGATCCTTCTGAAATGCCAAACGCAGCAATGCTTGAAAAAACAGCAAAAATCATGCATGAAGGACTAATTAAAAACCACCAAAAAAGCAAGGACAAGAAATACAAGGCAGGATATGATGACCTAAAGATCAAATGCGTGAAAGGAGGATACGGGGATGGAACCATTGATAAGAAGTCATGGTACTACGCGATTTACTTCCCAGGGAATTGGTTAGGTGACACGGTAAATTTATATTGTGTAATATTATTTTTTTCTTCATAGTACGCATATTCTCGAGTGAAATGCAGTAATGAATAATATTGAAAATATTGTTTTGTGAAGCATGTGGAGTTAGGGATGTATTTCTTGAGGATGAAAGCTGAACAATACAAGCTGCAGCAGAAATTTACGACAACAGACCCTATGTTTATGCCTTTGGTCAAACAGCATTACGAGAACCACATTAGCAATCAAATGCCGGTGGCAGAAAGTGCTTTAAATAAGAATATAATGTGTACCATACTTGGGACACGTTTGGACTACGCACTGCCATGGGCTGAAGCAGAGCATGTCTACATGCCACTGAATACAGGTATGCAACTGAATTTCTGTGGTGACTTATTTATGACAGTATGTGTACGGCAGTAATGCATGGCAGTACGTTTAGGGCAGTATGTTTTGTGAGGTAGGGAAGTACGTGTTTATATGAAATTTAATACAGGTAACCACTGGATTCTGCTAGTGCTGGATATCGGTAAGAAGTGCATACGTGTGTATGATTCTATCGTTCGTCGGGAACAAACAAACATACACATTCACCATTACCTCCCGAGCATGCAAATGTATTTACCTAGACTGATGGATAAGCTAGGAGTGTACAATGAGCGAAGTGAGGGGCCTATTGGGGATGATTTCTTGCAGATACATATGGTGAAAGAATGCCCACAACAAAATGATAGGTATGTGATTTGTTCAATGATGGTTTGGTAGAATTGATTACTAAGTCATTAATTGATGATTTTATTTATTGCCACACAGTGATAGTTGTGGGATGTTTGTGTTGAAGATGGCTGAGTATCTAATGATGGGCAAAGATGTGGAGTACCTGAGGCCCGAAGATATTAATGCTTACCGCGGCAAGATGACGACAGAGTTACTAGCTTATTTTGGTGTAATAGGAGCATAAACTTGAGAAACTAATGCCTGTCGTGTTTTTTTTTAATTATTTTGAGATATGGGTAGTAGGACAAGTTGAGAATGATACATTGCAATATGGCTTGGATTCTGAATGTTGGTTGTATGAGAAATTTATGTTACAAGTTGAACAATTTATTTAATTGTTTAGGTATGGGACGGCTTATTTTAATGTTATTGCACTTCTTTTAGATTCACTGCCTATAGAGCTTGAATTATTGTGTAAATACTAGATAACGGATGTATAAAGTTACTGGAGAACGATTTAAAACACTTGAATTATGGAAGTAGAAAAACGTGCCATTAACTTTACAAGACAGTGAATTATTCCGAGTATTAGATGAAGTGGTAGACTATCAGGTACGTATATGCCATTAACAGGGTACTAGTGAATTTTGTAGTATGAAGGTTAAGGGTATGAGAAATGGAAAGGATCATGGGCATTAAAATGAACATGTATATAGAAGTATTAATGCCCGACGAATATGAAATATAGAAATGTAAATAAAATGCCATGGACGCTGAGTTACTTTTTGTGAAAAAACTTATAGGACCTGGTAAAAGAAAAACCTTATAGGACCTGGTAAAAGCAATATAATTAGTAGTATGCAGTCAATGTAGGGAATTAAAATATTGACATGGACATTAAATAACTAGTAAAGCACGATCACTCACACAAGGAGGGAAGCAAGTCATATGGAATTAATATCTAGAAATAAATAACAAGAATGTTCAAAAAGAAAACAAAACCAAAGTGGTGAATGTCACTAAATTCGTGGAAATATTCAAAAAACAGCAAATTAAAAGCAGTTTTTAACGCATGTGTAGCGGAATCGGATTTCTACAGGTCTTTCGGTTGTGTCCAGCCATGTGACAACGAGTGCATGTTTGTTTCCGAACATGTTCTCCAGTAGACGGAATCCTTCTCTTCTTTGGCCTTCCAGGAGGTCGTGATTCGCATGATGGGGGCTTGCAAATGATTTGACTCACATGTGAGGGTACTATCCAACCATCTGGACTCCCAATAGGATGAATAATGCCACAGTATGTTTGTGCCCAATGATGTGCTGTATAGAATTCTGATATATAATCGTAGCAAGAAAGACCTGGTCGAGAGCGAATGGCAGCAACAGAATGTACACACAAAAATCCATCAAGCTCAAATTCCCGACAAGTGCACGTAAGTTCCTTCAAGTTGACAACATACGAGCGGGATTTCTTATCAAACATCTCAAACTCAAAAGCGCATGATGGTTTCACCTGCACAATTCATTAACAAATAACCAAAAACAAAATAAAATATTTTGAAATGTACAATTAAATGAAATAGCAGTGGAATAGAGACAGATAAAGCAGTGAAATAAAGACAATGGTTTGAGGGGAATACTGTCATCACGGCGGCCATAGCTTGTAAAACTACTAGCTCAGACTCAAAGTGTGTAGATAAACGACAAGTGTTTGACGTCGAAGTTTCCCGCCTTTCACAGAACCACTTTTGCATCCTAGCAATAATAAACTCTATCAACTTACAAATTGGGTATTCTCGGGCCGTGGCATTAACTGCATTTAATGACTCGGCATTGTTTGACATCATAACCGAGTATCGATTCCGACTGGCATATGCACGAGACCATTTGTCGTGACCGATCCGCTCTAAATACGTACGAATACGTTCATCCTCAACATCAAGCATGCAAAGGTACTCTTCACACTCATACACAGATCCTACACGAGCAGCTTGCAAAAACTTCCATGACACGGATGTTTGGGAACCACGAAATCTTGTTTTCAAATTAGCCAGAATGTGGTAAACACAATACCCATGCTCCGCATGAGGAAATACAGAACGCACAGCATTAATAATGCCCTCGTGCCGATCAGACACAATATATAGATCGTCCCTATGCGTCAACGAACGCTTCAACATGCTGAAGAACCATGACCAGTTTTCAGTATTTTCCCCACTACAAATACCAAATGCCAAAGGAAATATTTGTTTGTTTGCATCTTGTGTACATGCAGTGAGTAATGTACCCTTGTAATATGACTTCAAAAAAGACCCATCCACAATTATAACAGGAATGCAATGAATCCAGCCATCTTTCCATGCAGAAAGGCACATGAAAAAATTTTTAAATTCACCATTTTCCTTGCAGGAATAAGAAACAATAGAACCTGGGTTATTCCTATCAAGCACATGACACATGGAAGGTAACCGAGCATATGACTGTTTTTCAGATCCCATAGCCAATTCCATTGCCAATTCTTTGGCAATCCATGCTTTTTTGTATGACATGTAAATGCCATACTTGGTTTGCATATCAAGCATGACTGATTTCGGAGGATATGGCTTATTTGAGGGATCACCGTACTCGTGTTTGATTAGTTCGGCAATAAGCCTAGACGTAGCCTGGCGGTTATTTCGTTGACGCACATCAATGGGGCATGTGTGCTCAGAGTCAAATCTGGGAAAAAATGATAAGATTAGGCATTATCTAATAGGCAATACAGTGGATTCTAATTTAATGCACATTGTTCGGAATAAAAAATAAACAGAAATTTAATGCATGTGTAATAACAAATTAAAAAGAATTAATAATGTAAATTTGATAACAGAAAAACTGAAAACACTAAACAAATCGAGTTAAAATATATTTCGTCAATTTATACAATTAATTAAATAACGTACACACAACATGGAAATTCACTATGTATTAGAACTGACTCTCATAAAATATATATTGCCATTGAATTAAAGTGGGGAGAGGACATTAAAAGTAAAGTGGAAGCAGGGAATTATTTAAGCCAGTGAGAAAAATTATGAGATACATTGACATGCAAAGAGACCTTAATGCAAAAAGGAGGGATAGAGGAGGGCATTATAACATTTGATCAAAGGACATTAACAAAAAATACAGGCATTGTAATAAAGAAATTATTCCCCTTAAAGCAAATTTTTTATTTAAAAAGTGACACAATAAAATTATGTAATAAGGCATTAATTTTATATGTTATTTTGAGTGAGCAAGTAAATATATTGAAAATATATTGTCCCAAATATATTACCTAGGGCAGTAATGAGACCATAAAAAGAGCATCATAGGGAATTAAATTCATACTTCAATTTTACTGCTCATTTTTTTTAAAACTAATGTTGTGAAGGGCAGTAATAAACATGCAGGCAACGTATAAACAACAATACAGTGCCAGGGCAGTAATACACATGCAAGGCAATAAACTCAGAGAACTAATTGCGTACCTTTTAACTTGAAACAATGACACTTTGTCGATGCAGACAGCACGCACAGCCCACTTGCAATTGGGGTAATCAACACACACAACATGCAAAACCATCGGGCAAGATGTCTTCGTTCTATATTGAAAAAAGTTGGTAATGGCATACATCTTTAAGTGAAAATCAAGTTCCTTCTTGCTTCCATAGATGCTGTTCAATGCAATGCGCGTGGGTTCGGAATGCTTAACTACAGGCATATTACGAATCTCTTCATCTACAAGAGAATTTAACCTCGTAATTTCAGCACTCGAAATATGTTCAAGTTCAAAGTCTGCATCGACAGTGTGACTGAAATCATTGCCTTCATCAGTTAAGCCACCACGCTCTTCGAGATAACTCGTAGGATTAATTCCACTTTCATTGTGAATATCATCACATATTGTGATGCTCTGTTCCTCTCCAGTCGTAGCATCAACCTCCTCACCGGATACAAATTCAACACACAACGGCATTTGCATCGGGTCCTTTTGCAAACTCTTCAATTGTAGATAAAAGTGTAGAGTACCATCATCACATACATTCACGGGAGGTGGGCACGCAGCAAATACGTACGACATCTTAATATTCTTCCCGGCATAAGGCTCTCCCATCGCAGCACAAACTTGAGAACATAGAAAATCATACGTACAATTCGATGGTATA